GCGACGGGGTTAATGTAAAGGTTTATGTAAGAGCCACGATGATGTGGGGGAGGTTTCCTGAGCTGCACGTTTCGTCGTTACCGCATTGTGATTGAACCATGAATTTCCCTGCGTTTGGTAACGTAATTCCTCTTACGGGCTTTGGGACTCGTGATGTTATTTCTCTTCCATAGTTAATAAACAGTAAAAGTGGAGCGACGCTTTGCTGCTTCCGTGCCCTTCTGCTGCTTGCTCCCTCCGAACCATCTCCGGCAGAGGCTGGAGCAGCTTTGGGACTGTGGGGTGATTACCTGGGGGCTCCCCAAATGTGCTGTCATTAAAGGCAGAAAAAAAGACCCACGGGCGGCAATCGGTGTAATCCAGGTCCCCCAGCGCTGTGCCATGTCGGGTGGGCGCTGGGGACCGGCAGCGGGGCGCAGGAGGAGATGGGGGTTTGCCTTCCCGGCGCTGCGAGATGGGAACAGCATGTGCAAAGCATCCAGCACCGGCTTTACAAATGTGTTAAGCAGCTGATGCCAGTTGGCAACCAGTTTGTATGGAAAGATTAGAAGAGGCAAATCCTTTGAAGAGAAACCCTTTTGCTTTATTAGGGAAAAAATGCTCCTTGCCCTGTGCTAGCCTGGTCAGGGGAACCCGGAGCCCATGTGTGCAGTCCAGGCAGGGGAACTCTGCTCTGCTCCCCTGCTGATAACTCGGGAAGATGCCTTTCTGTACTGTAGGTTTATTTTTATTGCAACTTAAGAGCAGTTTATTTTAACCCCCGTGGTGCAGAGGGGAGCTCCTCGGGGCGGCGTGGGGTGCGGGCACGCTCCTGCGGGTCCTGTTGCAGGTCGGAGGGGCGATTGCCGCACAGGCAAGGCATGCAGTGCGTGCTGCTCTGCTGGGAACCGAGGTGAATCGGGCGTGATCAAAATACACACGGAAATAAAAATACCCTGCCTGCAAGAGCAGCTGGAGTGCCTGGGGTGAGCGTGGAGCCAGAGCAAAGAGGGGCAGTCCTGGAAAATGAACAGCTCGGCATGCCGGTGTGTGCCTGATCCTCAGTTTTCATGGAAATTGCCCGTGGGAGGCGAGTTTTCCCTTGCAAGCTCTTGGATGGGGATATCCTGCCACTCCGAGCGAGAGCAGCGCGTTTTTGTGGCTCACCGAGGGGCCGCACCGTTCGGGGCTGCGGTGGCACCCGTGGCGGGTCGCAGCAGGGCGGTGTCGTTCGGGACCTCCAGT